ATCTACCTTTCCCAGGGTAAACTCAACTTTCTCAGGTCGCGTTTCTTTGAAGAATGTGGGCGTATAAGTAGTAGGGATTATAAGGCTTCCTTCCGAAAAGCATATTTAACAGCCCATTTAGGCAAAAACAAAGCAGGACTATTGCTCGTTTCATTAATCTCATATAACGGACCAGAAAGGCTACGTCATAAAAGGCTATGATGTCCCATGACATTAAACATGGAATAAAAATCAAACCATGGCAACCCTAATCACCATGTATGGATTGTGGAAGAGCGGATTGGAATTCCGGTTTAGGAGAACGCAACTGAAGTTGCCGAGGAATTTCTTAAGCAAATATGTACGATGCATATTATGGTATAGAATATTTGATTGATGTGCACACAAAGAGAACACGCATTTTATTATTTATATATTGTTACACGCAAAATTCTCAATGGCCCTTCTCATTCTTCTTACTTCCACAACTTCTTTATCGACATATTCTTCTCAGAGTCTTTCTGCATGACCTGAAATAAAGAAATATTACCTCAATCATAGCACAGAGAGAAATAGGGCCTTCAAGAGTGCATTGTTCCATAGAAAAATAATTGACAATAAAATAGAAATAAATTGTAGACGCTCCCATATTTTGCACAATATTGAAAGGTGCCCGATTTTCAGTATCAATTGAAAGCAGCCATAAAATGGGTTTATAATTGAACTGAAGGCTTCCAACGAAGCCATTCCACATGCAGTGAACTGAGACCTATTACTATAAATCAAATTACGCAAGAAAATTGGTTCATCGGTGGAAACTTCAGGTGACATACTTAAAAATGTATCTAGTCTTTCACAGCTCCAAATTAACTCAAGCGGTTAAAGTTCAGATTGAATGACAGCAATCAATTCACAAAACAGGTATTGGATGCACAGAACTATTAAAAACGAACCTTTCCAACAGCCATCTCAAAATCTTCTTGGGTGACATGAATACGTCGTTCACGAAGCGCAAACATTCCTGCCTCAGTGCACACTGCCTGAGATGAAGCAATAATCATAATCTTGATAACTAAATCGTGATTATCAAAAAAAAGTGGTAAGCGACTCTACAAGTTTACAAATCTTTAGAAGAATCTATAATTAAAGAAATGAATACCAGTATGGCGCTCATTTTTGGAAGATTTGACTATGAAAAATAGCTACATTGTAACGGTGAGGAAAGGTGAATCCACCTTTGCCAACTAATATATCGGAGAACAGAATAAAATACTCTTCTCCGTTGAGATCAATTTAACTGAGAGATGATAGCACCACTAAACCTAAACCAAAGCGCTGTCCAAGTAGTCCTTTATGACATCAAAAAAGAGAAAGATATCAAAGCGCATCTCGAGAGAACCGACCAAACACTGGCCTACCATCAACGCCCCATTACTTTACTCAAAGTGGCCGACTGGGGGCAAGAGCAAGGCAACCAAACAACAACTGTGAAATCTATCGCGTTTTTTTATTCTACAGAGTTATATGTCGATAGCAGACTCTGGGAGGGTGAAAGCACTGATTAACGTGCGCACTAAACAATAACACGGTCCTGAAAGAAATTGGAAAGCAAAGCCCACAACGGGATTGATCAGCACCTTATACTCTAACCTTTCCTCCTACCCTTATATCTGTTTAGATCTGCAATCAACCTGAGTCAAATAACTTTTCAAAAACAGCTGCAAGCAGCAATAAGTGCAGAGAAAACTCTCCAAATATTATTGATTTAGCTTATGAAATAATGACAAAAAAATCAAATAATTGCTAATTGAGAGCTTTCTTGATAGAATGCTGAGCGGTGGTGAACAGACAATTTTTATTAATGGTACGCATGTCATCCTACTTTAAACTCACTTTCACTTCAGCACCACTTGCGCCGGGGATCGCTTCAGCAATTTTCCTCATATTGATACCTCGCATCAAATTCATTTTACGTGAGTGAATCTTTAAAATATCAGCACGAGCCTTCTCATCGGGAGCAGGAAATTCGATCTGAAACGTTCAATCGATCAGCGTGCAGTTCGACGTTTCCGCAACAATGAAACGACCCTACCTTCCTATCGATTCTACCAGGACGAAGCAATGCAGGATCGAGAATGTCGATTCTGTTGGTGGCCATGATAACCTGTACAGTATACTTCATGAGTACAAGGGAAAAATATAGGGATCAAGTGGTTACCTTGATGTTTTTAGTAGCCTCAAACCCATCAAGCTGATTCAACAGCTCAAGCATTGTCCGCTGCACTTCCGAATCGCCTCCACTACAACAACAATTTCAAAAAATACAATCACTCTTTCACAATTCACCGCGATACCTACAGTCGTAGACATTGGTGAAAATATCGAAGTGTTTACTATCAACTGGCCATCTATCGTTGCCATCTTTACAATGTCTTATGGTACTCCTCCCAGAAGAGTTAATGGAAAAGCCAAATATGAGTTTGTACCTTGATCCTTCGACTCGACTCGACCCAATAGAATCGATTTCATCCATGAAGATTATGGAGGGGGCATGTTCTCTCGCCATCACGAAAAGCTCGCGAACCTTAAAATCACAACAGGTTAGAAGGAAGGGTATTTGGAGCAAATGAATCCTATTATTTGCGCATACTGCTGCGCAGGTATATTTCTTTCGAAAAAAAATCACGAAACGTCCTACCATTCGTGCTCCTTCTCCAATGAACTTCTGGACGAGTTCAGAACCGGACACGCGAATAAAGGTGCACTCTGTATGATGAGCCACGGCTCTTGCGAGTAACGTTTTACCAGTACCAGGTGGACCAAACAATAGAACACCTTTGGGCTGTGCAATACCCAGAGCCTCGAAAAGTTCCGGATGTTTTACGGGTAGCTCGATAACCTATAAATATGAACATGGCTATCAATTTAACAGCTTTCGGATAAAAAATACCTCTTTGATTTCCTTAATCTGCTTGTCAAGACCACCAATCATCTCATATGTAGAGTCGGGCACCTTTTCAACCATCATAAGAGAAACTAGGGGATCCACCTGAAGATTTAGAGATGAATGAGAATCATAATACCTTGTTAATGGCTCAACATGAAAGAAAACCTTGTTCGGTAGAATTTTATGTAGAGCATAACTGTCAGCTCTGAGAGCGACACGACAACCGGTGTTGATCGTTGCTACTTCTATCCCTTTGTCTACATCCACGACGTACTTTCCCTCAGGATGGACCTGCAAACAACTGCAATTAGTATAAAACGTGGAGCAGCAACCATGACATATAAACTTGAGCGTACTGGATGAAAAGCGTAGCCAGTTGGAAACGAAAACCAATTAGGGAACCTACTTTCACGAGAACCTTCTTCTTGTCCATAGCTTTGCTTACTTCTCCAACATAACTACCCTGCTCTTGAAGTTGTTGTAATTCTTCTTTCAACATACGGACCTTGACAGCAAAATTTTAGAGTTGATTGCGATTACATTGAGTTATAGCAAATCTACCTTCGAGTTGAGTTCATTGCGTTGTGCTTGTAGACGGAGCACATTTTGGTTTTTCTCACTCACCATTTGCTGAAGAGCATGGTTAGTAAAAAAAAAGATGCATCTGAAAAACCCAGCAACCCAACCAAACCTCGAAAACAGAGCTACTAACTTGAACAGCGGATCTGAGTCAGATGTGGTGCTAACCAACAACTGAGAAAAGCCCTTGTAAAAATTGAAAAGAGCGCTGAAGATGGCTCTGCAGTGGAAATGCAACACTACAGGCTGCTCAATAATAGAAGCTACTAGCATTTAATGAGAGTCGAAGTGATGAACAGTAGAAGAGGGGTTGTACATAATGAACCGTTGAAGTTAATCCTTAGGCTAATACTTTCAAGCTTGACCCTCTTCCTTCTACCATTTGACGCATGACTCTAGATTGGGAGAGGTTATGAGCTAGTGTATACCAGCTCGTGACGCTTGACAGTGATGCACAAAATGAAAAAAGCGTTTGCGATAAACCATTTTTAAGTTTTGGTTTTACATCCAGGAGAGCGGCAGCTGATCACTAAAACCCTTCTGCCATCACTCCAGGCACAATCCGAACGCTGAAACTCTTCTGAGTCAATCAAAAAAGAGCAATCACCTGAGCTTCATCAATTTTAGTCTTGAAGTATGTCCTCAAAGACTGTTCATCTGTCGTAGATCCTTGTGGTGTTACCGGGGGTGCCACAACCGTACTTCCCGCTGGAGGAGCCATGTATGCTGAAGGTAAATCGTATCACAACTTTGATCCGAATCTCCTATGAGCCAGAATGAGAATAATAGTCGATTAATAAAAAGTAACAGGAGTGAATGGAGAAAATGCGCGCGGTTCGTGATGACAAATCTTTTGTTGCGGTCATCTAGCACAAGTTTCCATGAGAGTTCTTGGTGCAAAGACAGCAGACAGCGAGAGCATTGAGGCAGTATGCGATTACGAGATAGGCAGGGAAGCAGACACTTGCGCGGCACGCTATGGACCTGATGAGCGGCCGCCCCACTTGAGAATTTCTGACCTTGTGCCAAAATCCGAAATTTTGAGATTACCGTATCCTTTCGAAATTTTTTATCGATTGTCCTTCGGGGTGGGTTTCTTATCTCATCAATCACACTGTTGCTTGCCGTCCTGTTAGGGGGTAGTTGCCCCTCTATATCCCAGTATCTCTCGAGTGTGTTTAGGCCGTCCGAGTCAGTGGTGCTGCTATTCAGCAACGTGATTGTAAACTTATAAAGGTCCCACAATGCTATATTTCTAGCACTTGGGGCCTATAATCGATATGTCACAGTCGCGAGATGTGTCTCCATCTCTGCTCCTATTTCCATGATGCACTTTATTTCTCTTATTTCTAACCACTGAAATCCGTTGTTTAGAAGCTAATTTTCATTAAAGCTCAACCTTTGGGAACTCAGGCGCCCAGCTACGCTTTTGATTATAAGTTTTACCCTAGAATTCGAATAAGCTCACTCATGTTTACTTGTTTTCCAACCAGGGTGGCCTCTGCGATTATGACGTCATCACGGGCAGGGCGATCGATAATGCGTCCCGAAGCGATTTTCGTACTGTGGGGGCGTCATCCGGAGTTGGCACTCAGCCAAACGCATGTCTCGTGACCAGTGACGCTACTTGGGCGACTTTGGCAGTATCCTCCAGTACAGGGTCAAGTGCGACCGTGTTTCATTTGCTCTGCTGTGCGTCTCCTGCATGGCGAATCTCACCTTTCTAGCGTTTACTTTTATTGTGAAATAGGAAACTGTGATTCACGATGATGATAACGGAACTTGTGGAGATTCTTCGCGTGTGCTTATTTTCGATGGATTGTGTTTGGATATTTCGTGAATAGAGATTCTAAATTTCTCCTGATCTAATCCTATTGCATGATTTTGTCGCAATTTCTAATGTTTTCAGGCAAACTTCTCTCTTGAACTTATTTCGTGACTTGATAACCCACTATGGCTCGTACCAAGCAGACCGCTCGTAAATCTACTGGAGGAAAAGCTCCTCGTAAGCAGTTGGCCACCAAAGCTGCTCGTAAATCTGCACCTTCTACTGGTGGTGTGAAGAAACCTCATCGCTACCGTCCCGGAACTGTCGCTCTTCGTGAAATTCGTCGCTACCAGAAGTCCACGGAGCTGCTTATTCGTAAGCTGCCTTTCCAGGTATGTTTGTAAGAGTTAGCTTTGTGTTAGACAGCTAATTTTTTATGTTACAGCGTCTCGTTCGTGAAATTGCGCAGGATTTCAAGACTGATCTCCGTTTCCAGTCCGCTGCCATTGGAGCACTGCAGGTGAGCTAGAATTGCGCACAAACTATGCAAGCTAATGATTGGGGAGGTATCATTCAACAAATTCACTTGTGCTTTTCAGTTGTAGTGGGATCAACCACAAAAAGAAAACAGTAGCATTGAGAACAGGGTCTGGCGCAATGTTCAATGGGTGACTGAAGTTTATTGTAACTGTATTAATTGGGATTCTTTTCCCAGATATCGGCGTTCAATATTAGTCAGGTCATTGAGACGGTGCTGTGAACTTTGAGCATGCATCACGTCTTGGTGCGTTCCTTTTCCAGGTTGTAAGAAAGGAAACGCCGCGCGTGCAACACGCGGGCGGCTGTTTATCTCTTATATTATGTCACACTTAACGAAAATAAATCATTGCTCTTAATCTGCACTTAAGGGTTGCGAAATCTGTTTTAATAATCAGGCATTGTTTATGCATGTTGAGCAAGTCCGTAAGTTAAAAGGTCAAGATGCCTTGTCGAAAAGTACATGCGATTCAAAAGTACACGAAATGTACTCCTACCACCAATCCGAAATTTGTGGTCAACACTGCATTTGAGCATTACTCAGAGTTTATCTAATGCGTACCGTGAACAATGTTCGACCAGACAGTTGTGCCGCAATCTAATTGTTGTTACCTAAGAGCATTAACCAATTGCCTCATCTGTCGGCTCTCAGGCGAAGAAAGTACATGTTGCCAATCCATGCCTTTATATCCCGCCCAAGGAGCCGTGCCGTCATATGTAGTACCCTTCCAGTTTTTTTGTTGATCACACAGTTTCGTTTCGGTCACATGAATGAGTTTGTTGATAGGGTGAATCATCGGGTTAAAGGCTTTATTCTTCACACCCACTAGCCTCATTTCCCACCCAAGCAGCTACAGTGGACCCATGAAGTGTTATGCTTTTTTTCTGAGTTATTTCTGGAAGAAAGGATTAAACTTGAGTAGAGTGGGATTCAGTGATTGCACAAATTTTCATCAGGTTGAATAATCTTGTTTCAGGAGGCATCAGAGGCTTACCTCGTTGGTCTGTTTGAAGACACAAACTTGTGTGCAATTCACGCCAAGCGTGTCACAATCATGCCGAAAGACATCCAGCTTGCTCGCCGTATTCGTGGAGAGAGAGCATAATTTTCCGGACCTGCTGAATACAACATTCTGCTGCCGCGATCTCTGACCGTTTTTCTTTACAGTACTAATTACTGCTTCCGTTTGTTCCTCTTTGTGAATATCTGTGTGTAATAGTAATGAAGCAAATCCATTGTGTATCTTGGTAAGGTAATAAATAATACAAAAACGTAAATGGTGAGCGTTGTTTGGAATTTTTTATTTTCTGTGGTATCGATCCCGATATTAGAAGTTACCGTACATGAAGAAAGGATCATGATGAGGAGGAATAGATGACTTGAAGTTCGATATGGGGATACAATTACCGAACTGCATAGGATTCAGGTATTAATTCATATCGAGTCCAATCGGTAGTGGATGATCATGTGCGGCAGTTTTCCATGTAGTGATTGAGTTCACCCAATTTTTGAGTCGAAGTTCAAGTGTGGTATTAATTGAAAGCCGAGCATGAGGAATAAGGTGTAGGATTCTGAGTAAACAAATTCTTGGTAATCGAAGACCATTCGAAGAAATTTGTTTCGCTGAGTACAACACTGACTGACTCAACTTACCCTTGCTCGGTCACTCTGTCCGCCCATGCGAATTTTTCCTTCTTGGCCCAAGGGCTGCGCCGATTTCNAACCGTCACCGTGCATAATGACTGACTTGGTCTCTTAGTGGAAGCTTTATCGGCTGTAATGCCATTTGAGTTCAGCAGTAGCCTCCCCACACCGATCGCACGGCTACGTTCGTGTAATGCATATCGCCGTAAAAACTTATTTATCATTTTATTTACCTGACAATCATACGAATATCATTCAACTCATTTTTGGGTAAGTCTAACCAGTCATTTCCATTACATGTCCCAATAAGAGCAGTGAACTGCAATGCTATTACTTTTTATTGCCTCAACTGTGAGTGACACTTTGTTGGACACCTGTTTTTTTCTATTTAAAGCCTGCTATGGTTTTAGGTAAACACACTTATCTTAATAAGTATCATCTTAATCACGGGTTGTTCTAAAGGAGAAACTCAGTGAGTTTTCTGAACTCAATGATATCAAGCATATAGAAGAAACTATGCAACTGATAATGTGAAAAATCGCAAAACCTGGAAAACCTTGTGTAAAAATCGAATAATAAAAAGAAGCAATAGAGAAAATCATCGAAATTCCAGTCATAAAGAACAGACACGACCTCGTCCGTTGCCTCCACCACCACCTCATATCGAGTTAGCAGGAAGCGGAACTAAAGAAGATCATACGCTGAGGTATCGGAAGGTAGATAGCACGTTGATCTGTGGGCCTTGGGCCTTTGTACAACTCTCATTGATTTGTTATTCCATTACAATAGACAAAGCACCAATGGTGTGTGGAAAATGACATCACGAGACCCGCCCACAGGAGCAATGTGTGCCACTTCTTTGTGAAGGACTTGTGCGCCTTCTTGATCAGGATTTAGGAATTTTCAGAGATGTTGCATCGTTGACGCGGGATGATGACAGCAGTAAGAAAGTTAAGAAAAAGCCGAGTCAGGGTCACCCAGATGATATACTGCTGTAGAGCAGAGCTGAGAATTAAGCACGTGATCTGAATGAAGATTCCTTTTAACTTTAAGTCACATCTCGTCTCGTCATGATCGACTATAGCAGGAACCGACAAAATTCACAGAAATCAGTCACTCATTGCTTAGAAATCAGTCAGTTAGTCAGACAGTCACACAATGCTGTACGAAGCGCTTTGGTTTTACAGTAACTTCGAAGAAAAATGTTTCTTTCCCGTCTCTTCTTGCCCTTGTTCTTCTAGATCTCTTTGAATCAGACAGTTACACTTGATACAAACCAAAAGACGTTATCTTCTATGACGATATCTGCTTGCTTAAGGGTCATTTACAAGTTTTCTTAAGTGTTTTCAAGAAATGCTTCACAGTTTCTTCTAGAGTGCCTCTTCAGGTACCTAAAAGCGTGTATAACGCGCGAAACGTGTGCGCGTGACCCAGTTTCGTCGACGACAAGAACGGACGTTCCCATCCGGGAAACGCCTTGCGGTCGTCAGCCGAAACCAAGTCACCACTCATTATGATCTTGGCTAGCCGAATTAAGACCTATTGTGTAAATAACGAGGGCTACTGTCGGACGCACGACAAGCTCGTTTCCACAAGACCGCTGTAGCGCATTCTGATGCACACCAATTTTTGTCAAAATACCTGAGCTAGTTCTGTGGATAGGGAGATCGTGTCAGGACTAGCTGGAACCTCGACATAGGCCACTTTGGTCCTGTATAAAGCTGAAATGACACACCCAAAAGCGCGGGATCGATTAACGCGATCCCTGCCATCGCACCCGTCCATACGGCGCGGTTTGCGAGCTGGACAACCTGTTCAGGTGGTTCAACCTCCCGATCATGATGATCGATGCAACTAGACGGAATACTTGTAGCTCCGCAGTTCGGCGTCTCATAGTAGTGGCGTCATCGATTGGGCTTCTATCAGTTTGATAGGCAGTTAGTTGCCCAATCACCTGTACGAGTTGTCCAGCTCGCAACCACGTCGAATAGGCGACGCGATGGTTGGGATCGCGCCAAACGACATACACCAAAAGTGCGGCAGATTCAAAAGGTCCAGTCCTTGTTTGTCAGCGCTCTAGCATTTTGGAATAAAGATGGCAAGATTTTTGCGCCGGTGTACGTTTCATACGCTGTGTTGTCCAAATGATGGGCTATAGGAGAGGCAATTGGCGCGGCGTCGATCGTCTAAAATCAATGCAAGCTCCTTGACGCACCTATCTGCGTTAGGACGCGGTTACTATGAATGCGCCCTGCTGCTGTAATTACAAAACGTCACTAGTTGTTCTCATATTCTCCCCACCTCACTGAATAACCTTTTTGCTAATGTCCCTAGTTCCACACACTATTGTATCGCACTTTTATCAATTTGAATAAGATCGATTGATCGATTGTCACTCGAGAAGTACTGGAGTAAACTCTTCTTCCACTCCAACAATCCAAAAGACTACATCAAGAAAAAGTAGGGAAAGCGAGTAGATGGTATAGTTGAAAGCGATCTGGAAACGGAACGATTTATGAGTGATCATAATGTGTTGGATTAGAATTATTGTATAACTTTACCAAATCCAGAAATGCGAGTACCCACATCAAGAACATCCATACGGTCCCACTGAGAGGGAAGGGATCTGCAAAGAACCTGGATTTATGAAGTTACTCGAATAAATTTAAGCCGTACTACCCGAAAACACGAATTATTTCAGGTTATCAAAGCTCTGTGAGTAGGCATATCCCGGAGGAGAAGTAATCAGCTTTGAAACCTACAAATTACCTCCATTTTCCGTCAACATAATACCTTGAAATTGTATGATCGTATCGTGTACTACGGTGTTGCGCTGCAGATTTTTGCAGTACTACAGCCGCTTCAGTGCCCGGGTTACGAGCAGCGTTTGAAGAAGCGAAACCAGTTTTGTGGCTTCAAAGCTGTAATCAGATTCCATTTTCAGCAAGACCTATCCAATCTCTCACGGAAAGCGATTACATGGCGCAATATAATTCCCTTGCTAGGCGTGACCCATTTTCGTGCATACATCTGGGCTCTCTCGTACCAACAGCATCCATCGAATCGCTGACGGGCGGGTGATGGTACCCGCCCAAATGGCAACGATCGATAACGGGAATTTCCCGCCGCCATAACGGGTTGATCGCTCATTTGTGCTTCAGCTTATATGTTTCGATGTTTCTGTTTTTCTTGTCCATCTCTAATAAGCTATTTGCTTGCCTTATCGTTGAATAAAGCCCCCTCTCTGCCGTTATACGTTCCAATTGTGCGGTTAGTGTCAACTCCGATCTACAACTTCAGTTGTCACTTTGAGGTTCCATAGTGGTAGTTATATTCTGTTGTGCTTTTCATTTTCAATCGCCATTCTTATCGTTGTTTTCCTTCTTAACATGATCTTTATGTATCACAAAAACGTTTCCTGTTTGTTTCCAAGTTTCCACGTTTCAACGTTTTTCTTTTTCTTTTTTGATAGGCCTATCTGTACAGATTCGTTGATTCATACAGTACGGGATTTGATTTACCGTTTCCCCCTCATGGATAAACAAGTAGGAAGACCGAAATATGGACGACCTCAGCTAAAACCCAGTCTGAAGGCTGGTTTCTTGTAAATATCGGGAAGAAATTGAGCTCTAGAATGTCCGTTGCTCCGTCCTCTTTCATATCATTCTTCTTTTACACTGCATCACACTCGTGGTTCTTCGACTTGGTGCTTTCCAGATCCGACGAGGCTTTTAGCGTTTGAAAAAGCTCACGCTAACTATAAATCGTGATCGCTGTTGTACGGCAGGACTAGATAAGTACATAAATTGAGGAGATGTGATTCCCACTGGACGATGGTCAGAAGTAATATGTGGCACAGCACACAATATGATCTAAGGATGCAACCAAGTTGAACTGTTCTTTTCCCCTTTGAGGTCTGTGAGAGGACGCTTTCAGAGTGCAGCGCGAAGCGTTGAACGTTGAGCGTTGAGCGCGGAGCGTCGAAGCGACGTTAGCGTCTGCTACGCGGCCGACGTTGTTTACGTGCAAGCCCTCAATTTACAACACCGGCTGTCGATCGATGCGCAGGTCGTCGGTGAATTATTTTTGGTCAATTTTTTATTGGTTGTATTATTTACTATTCTGAATCTTTTTTTAAAATAGAATTCGATATTTCTATCTTTGACTGTTGCGGTATAATGTGATGAATATATAGCAATGGAAGAGCTGGAAGGTCGGAGATCTGCTTAGAAAATGCCATGCTCCAACGCAAAATCGTCAGCGGCGGCGCGGGTTGTAATGCGGCTTCAACGCTCAACGCTGTACTATGAAAGCACCCAATGAGTGAAGTATCTATTTGAGCGGTCGAATAGCGATCGCGACACGATTCTAGTTCAACTCGGATGCATTGCGTGCGTATCCTTTTACATTACTGATCAGGAAACTCTTATATCTCTTGGCCTTTCATTGGTATCACGTGTTTTCCGATTTGCTCCCTGCAGGGTCTGGAACGTCTTTATTCTTCCCTGTCACTCCTCAAGTTTGAAGTTTTGCTTCCCCTGCACAGTTAGAGTCTTCGACATGGGTAAAATTGAGAATGAGTTGAAGAAGTTACCGATCATATTGCAGTAGTTGAGAATCTTTGTTAATGCTTGGAAGAATCCAACGTTATCGATCGGAAGCAAAAGGACTGCCAGGGACATGGAGAAAATGATGAAGAAAACCAGACACATGAGCGCAGGACGTGGGTAACGTATCGGCCATAAGAAGGCGTTCCGCAACGGTTCTGGCGGCAACGGTTTGCCCAGTGAACACTGAATAGCATGACATTCAGTTTCTAGAAATGAGGTGTGAAAGCAGCTTCAGTTAGTACAATTCTGGAATTAAGGCTACTATTGCTGTGCTACTGCTTCTGACCGACATACCACTTTGAACTGCACTTCTTTCCCTTCACGTTCAGCTCGATCTAGTTGCTTTCGGAAATCAAGAACGATATCGCGTGGAGGACACGGAGCCATCACCCAATTGTTATCTAAATGGTTCTAATAGTGCTCTGCTACATGAAAAAACGCCCAGCTGCCTGCTACCCACATATAGGTGGTCAGAGGTGCAAATTCGCGCACACGATGACTAGTAGATTGGATTCCGTCGAAATTTTTCCATCGTATCAGGCCATTCCGGTTAGATATGGAGAGGCTCGGTTGCGGCGTTCAAGATGCTGGGAACAAAAAAAAAGGGTGGGGNGGGGGGGGGGGGGGGGGGGGTTGAAGATAATGACTAGCAGTAGCTCCGCACAGGTCATGATCTCGAATTTGAACTTTAATTTCGCTCATTCTCCAGAGTCTAACATCATTATAAGCACATCCGAAGTACCAAAAAATCCGATCCATCTGGGATAATGACTAAGTGCCTTAGTCGCACACGGATTTTAGCAAGGTTTTGTATCGCCCATACAAGCATTGAATCTACATTAAGCTAATAATCAGTTGGGAACCCCGTGTGTGTCCCATATTCAGCTTTTTTAGCATAATTGTCGAAGAAAAAGCTCACCAAAGCTGCTGTTGTATTTCTGATCAATGATATGACACAAACAGATCATAATGAAGTATATGACGATATTGCAGCAAAAGAAAAAGAAATAGTGAAATACCCCTTCAGAATAGGCCAGGCTTTCATCTGAAAAATACCACAAATAGTCGATAGTTTAGAGTGATCGCAACTTGTTATAGTCGCCATAATAGGAATGCAAAGTAAGGCACTTCCAATTTGTATACTTACTAATTCCAAACATCACGTTTAGGATCGCGACCGGATCAAACACTGTACCCCTCATTTGGGGTTCCATCCAATCTCTTAGCGATGACTCAGCTGATGATAGGATTTTGTAAAGGCTCTCATTCTGCAATTTATAGAGACTTAATGTAGCCAAGCATGTGCCTATTATGCCGTCGCTTTCATTTTAGTGTAATATTGGTCCCGATCTTCTTATGGTACTGCGATTCTTCGCTAGTCTGCCGATTCCGTTCAAGCCTACCGCTTGTCATCCCAGTCCTTACAGAAAACTGTTTTACTACATAACTGACCAAATATTGTTTACTTGTCCTTTTATTTCCAATCGAAAAATACATTCAACATTACCTTAGTATTATCATAGAATAGTTGAGTGTAATTGGTGATCACAGCGCTACGAACGTCGTTGAAATCGGGTGTTGTGTAGATTTTTTCTCTGTAGAACCATATTCCTACGAACAGCTGTGCAACAAACATAACAGTCAGCACTGAAATATGCTTTTTGAAGGTGAGTGCGAAAGAATGTGAACTTTCTACTGCGACTTTTGCCGTTCTTCGTTCTCTTTTAAGAATACGCCATGCGCTTGACTTCCATTCACAGTCCTAGTGGCGATTCCAGTGCATGTATGGCCGCAATAACTTTCGGTGGCTAGTCGTTATTCAAGTCAGCGCTTATATCTTCCCAGATGATCGGTACCACTCAGTCAACCGTGGAAGATATAGTTTACTTGGCTCGGGGAAGTAATATGTTCTAGGATTAAATCCTCAAGCTATAGGTGTGTAATTGCGCGCAACTTACCACTTCATCACCTCTACCTTGAGTTCTTTGAAAAGAAAATCAGTGGAAACCATTGTGCTGAAAACTCATATAAATATACGCTTATGGCTTTTAAAGCACACTGAAAAACTGAGTTAGCACGACTGTTTTCTAGTTCCCACGTTCCTGTTTGAGTGACCGATTTTCTCATGTAATTCCTACAGCTGCCTAGTTTTGGGATGGCCTGCCGAAAATGGATGTAACAATTCCGAATTTATAATAATTCATGTCGGGCAAAGGTGACATGTTGGTAAAAGAAATTGCCATTAAACAGCTTTGCAGATCGGATTCAATCTTGATTAGGCGCAAAAAAGGAGCCTTATCACCTGTTCCAATCAGCCTTGGAGAACGATCCTGCGGTGTGGGTTGTCGAAGTTTCTGCCACATTCCTTAACGAATAAAAGTTGCTAAAAATAGGTATGAAGTGATACCTTTGTTTTCAACTAGATATTTGGTAATTGATTGGGACTTATGTTGGACTCTGATTCTCTATTGCTTGGAGACCATTTATCAGGTTGATAACGTAAGAGTTGGAGGAGGAAAATGAAGCAGTGGGTTCCAGGAATTGCCTGGGTCAGAACAATAGGAAGATCAGAGCGCTGGGCATCTTGAGAGTAGGTTTTCTTTCTGAAAAATCGGCCCGTATAATCCTTGTTGGCATGGAAGCCAGGTTGGCAGTAACCTAGTAACAACGTATTTGGCTTTTCAAGGTTTAACGTTTCTCAATGAATAGTTTAGTAAAATGAAGGAGAAGAGGAGAATTCATAAAATCAATATTGACCTCAGCGACACAATTGCAAACTAAACTTTTTACCATTTTGGATATGAGTGCATGTCGTACACCAGTCGACTTAATAGCTTTATTCTCTTTTTATTAGTTCAACAACAACATAACAATAAACTTCATATTCAAACTAGCAGTTATCACATTAAAGCACCTTAAGAAGGTCTCAGAGAAGAGTAACTTAGAAGCTACCTAAACTTCACTCAAAATATTTAACTATACTTTTGAACAGACTCTCTTGACTTGATTTCTAGTTTCTTATCAAGCACAGATTGGGCTCCATGAGTAGGAAGGAATGTCCTGCGGCTGTAGTTGGCGATAGTACATCTGGCAGCGATTCAAAGCATCCTAGATAGGAACTCATGAGTCCCTCACCCTATGAGAGAGAGGATTTTCATAGACAAGTTACCACTTACTTCAAATTTGATAGATGGCTGGTAATTTAGCACAAGACGGCTTTTCTTTGTGTTGAAGAATGTCCAGTGGCGGAAATAGAGGTAGAGAACTGATGGATGTGGCAGCTGGGAACGGTAAATTAAATGGCAACAAGGACAACGATGAAAACAAAAGAAGTAGT